TCTGATTTGAGTTGTGTTGGGAAGCTTAATAGTGCTTTATGCTGGTAAGCTGTTTCAAATTGTTTTTTGTTTTAACTTGAGTGGTACCTCAATTAGATTTGGTTTACATTAACCTCTATACAGGTTTTCTGAGCTTAAAGAAAAAGGGATGTGTCCTTACAGGTGAGATAATGCACACCACATCAGAAATTGAAATTACTTAATGTGGACTTCTCGAGACTTTGGTTTGAAATTATGTAGCTAATACAAACACGTTACTTTAAAGAATCAATTCAGTTCCTGCCTTTTGCTGCCAATTATGATTACTTTAATAATTTTTTGAGATGGCTCAAGTCACTCTACTTACAACTACTTCTAAAACAGTTTCTTCGAATACATAGGCCCAGATTTTGCAGTAGCAATCACTGTGAAACAATCAGCGTTCAATGGCATCATTCCACTGAAATTCTCAACAACTGTAGGAGTCTGTACGTACATGGAATATTACACAAAATCCAGTAGGTGCTGTCTGTAATAGTTTGCTTTTCCAAAGGGTGCAATTTTAACTGCAGGCAATGGAAATCTATTGAATTTACAAGAAATTCCACTAGCTGTTGGTTTCACTGTAAAAACCACTGATAAATTTATACCTTTTTGAATGTAACTGGGTTTTTAGTGGCATCACTTCATAACTAGTTCAGTACCAAAATCATTGGCCCTAAAAGAAAGTTAAATTTTGGGGAATGTTTATATTTTCCATTAGTATAAGAAATTCCGTGTTTCCATTTTTCTTTTTTGAAGCTTGTATTAGCTTCAATCTCAATTCAGTCATAATCATTTACTTTGCTTTCTGAAATTTTAAATCATAGAACATCAGGTGTGTTTAACTTCCTAGCTGGATATGACAGAATATTTCAAATGTATTGGCTATTTACTTGCTTGCTGACATCACTGAAGTTTACACCAAGATATTCCCTGGTGCTAGATTTGAATTGCCAGCTGGAAAGGGAAGATCATGTCACACAGACCACTACTTCCTATGGGCAGCTTTCTTTGAAGTCAATGGGGAATGCCCTTCCTTTTATAGGGATCTCAGAACCCCGACCATAATTTGTCATTTTTGCAAATTTTTGAATTAGTAGTAAATTTAGAGAGTTTGAGTTTTACCTACTTTGTTCCATTTGCTGATCAATTTTGATATTTCAGAATTAGGTCGTGATACAGTAGAGGGGTTGGGGTGCCACCTTAAAACAATGCTCTTTTGAAAAATTGATTTGGTCAATATATTTTCCAACTGGAAAAGCATCATAATGTCAATGCACAAACAAACCCATTGTAATGCTGGTCGTGAATGACTTTTCATTCTTATATTTCTGACTAGGGGCTGTTACAGTCGGAGAACATGTAGTCTCACATTGCTGCTCAAGTCAATAATTCTCTTGATTTCAACCCTTTCATCTACCTATTTGTTTTTTAGCCTGTCATCTATCAGGAGATCTGCTTGCTGGCCTTTCAAATAGTGCAAAGATTCTTTTGATGGCTGTAGACAAATGCTTTAGTCTTTCTTTAAAAACAGATAACTCTTTTTGCCTCCTAATAGTGACATCTTGGATTTATGAACTTAATGCATGAGAAGCAGGGCTTGAAAGAAGTGAGCTCGAGAATTTCAGGATTAAATGAAACCTGATGCAGCACTTTGGATTTGGAATATGCTATAAAGTTTACTCCAGTACGTTGCGATAGTCGAATGTTGATCACCATTGCTTTAAAGAAAAAGAGACAGCATTTGCCTTGTAAGTCTCCCATACAGAGGCTGCAAAATCAATAGGAAACCTTTTCTGCAATACAGCACAAGAATTATTTCCAGGCATGGGCAGACTTGTAAATTGTTCGAAACATTGATATGGGATTAAACAATTCAAAAATGCACTGTTGTTATCAATTATATGGGTGTGCAAGGGATGCTAAAGCCCACGTGCTTCATCCAGTTTCTGAGCAACCACTGTCATATCACAGAGTCACGCAAGACAATGTATTAACATTGGAATGGGATATACTTAAATGTAGGTTAGAATGATCATTTATACCTTATAGGCATTATTGAACTCAAAAGGCATTTCAGGAAATATTAGAGATTAAGAGGGAGAATAAATAAGGAACTTGGACCATGAATTGCTGCTCTTGGGTTGATGTACTTTTAAGATGATTGTTTATCCCTTTCAATCATTTTGATTCCTATCATCTATTTTTCAAAATGATCTGTGCATTTTACTGCTTGTTTGAAGAAGTCTGTGCAAGTAGTCAGCAAAGAGGTAAACTAGATAATCATAAGGAATGGCAGGATAAAACACTGTGAGCATTAAATACTAATTAACTGCACAATATCTTATATGTTTTTTAAAAAATATTTTTGAAAACAATGAATTAATTAGGGTCAGTAGGGCATTATTATTTTTATTACCAGCCACACTACTACCATAAAGGGGAAACAAGCAAATCCTTTGGTAAAGATCTTCCTCAAACTTCACAATAGTGAATTGGCCAGAGATTTCTGTATAGTATGCCATTCAAAAGAGGCAATGTGAAGTTCTTTTCATTTAAATATCATTGCAGAAAGGGATAATACAAGATACAAAATGGTACGAAAATACTTTTTTGTTGAGCACTTTGTTGCCTTGAATAAAAATTACCAAAAATAGACTATTTTCTTTACACTAAGACAAGGATTGAAACAGGTGATGTATAATTTTCAATTCATTCTTGTTCCCTTTAGAATCGATATTTCATTTCCTTATTTTTTTTTTAATTATGGGCCTCAAGATTACTTGTGGAAAATATAAAAAAATAGTTTTGTTGGTCAGTTCCCAAGTTAGTTGTAAAACAATTGCATATAACGCCAAGTCTGATGCTGGCTTGCTACTGTGCATTGAACTCAGGTTTAACATTTTCCTATGCTCGTAGGGAATCACAACTTCAGCACAAACAATTATTTTTTTTAACCTTGGTTTTGTTTTCTTTACATATAAAATGATTGCATAATTTACCACTTTTGACAAAGTGGTACCCTTTTTGGGGGTGTGGGCATGGGGGAGGGACAGGGGTTGGCATGTTGCTTCATTAAATATCAAACATGACCTCCTTCCTCCAACACCCTCAAACACTACCAAGTCTATTAGAAAGCATCTGTAATGCAAAGCAATACACTGCACAGTTTCATAAACTTATTAATTTTTGAAAATACTACCAAACATCTGCATGGAATGGCTTCTAACATTTTAACACCTAAAAACATCTAAAAAAAAGGCAAACAGTGACAACTCCTCTACTGTTAACTGTGCAAAGTGAACCATAACATATTCACAATACAAATAATCAAATACTTGCATAAAGTAGTGTGACCTTGCAAATGCGGTTCAGAAAAGACGCCAGTATTGTAATACTTTCCATTATTCAGGATAGCAAATATTGCTTGTCTAGTAAAGAATCCTTTTCTCGATAAAAGTTATAAAAAGTCTTGCAAAAGATATGAGCAAATGTAGACTATGTACAAAAGATATAATGCAGATTGTGTGCACAAGGCCAGAATGAGAGTTGGCCAATATTCTCAGTCCTTTTAGACCTTTCCTGCCAATTCAGTCAGATTTAGATGTAGACTCTTTGGCAATGGACTTTATGTTCACTTTGCTTCCAGTAAAACGCGGTGAATGCACTTTATAAAGCTTTTAACTCTTTCAGTAACCTGGATATTACTACATGCAACAACCATAGAGTAATCATCTTATGGTTGATCAATTTGATCATTTCATTGACTTTACCTTTGCCAACATGACTTCTTTGACCGGTATACCTTCGCAGTATACTTGTATTTTATTTAACACCCCAATTTGAATGGCGTCAAACATACTTATAGTTTGTAGCCCATTCAGCATATTACCACTGTAAATTCATGGTTGTGTTTAAGTTCAGATCTGTAACATCCAGGAAGTCTGCAGAGAAGATGCTCGGTGTGGTGGAGCCAGCAGATCCAAAACCAGCTGCTGAGCTAGGTGGTGTGAGATCCAACCAGTCCATGTTCTCTAAGGGAGTTTCTGTAAGACCTAGGTTCATAACATGGGCATGTGTGGGGGACGGTGACATCTGGGTATCCATCGGTGACAGGGGGTTCTCCAGAATGTCTCGAGTGTTCAGCATGTCCTCTCGGGAGTTGCCAGAATAGCCCTCGGCCACGTTGTCTAGCTGGGAATCTTCACCGCCAATTTTAAGCAATGCAAGATCGCTGCCCCGATTCAAAGAGCTGCGGGAATTCAACAGAGCCTGAAGCTGATTGTCGCTGTTGCTGGTGCAATGGTCAAATGATAGCTGGGGAGGAGACATGCGACTAAAAGGACTTGACGATGTCCTAGGCACAGACACACTGGAAGTTCCTGATGATACTGTGATTTGAGGCAATGTTTTCTGAGCACAATGATGATCAGTTTTTGCATTTGGTGGCATTTCTGAAAAGGAGATAAGTTGTAATAAGAAAATACCACCAGGAAATAAAGTTTATTGCTTACAGAAAGTACGAACCAGGAATAATGAGAAAATCAGAAAATTTGTCATTTAGAAGAATGCTTTTTAAAGGGGTTGAAACTTCATACATAGTTGATTTTGTAAATAAACTTGAATAAAAAATGGTCTACAATAGTTTTGAAGATTTGCTGTTGAAATAAAAAATGTTTTTTAAATACCATGTACAATGCCTACAATCAGATAATCTCTCATGCATTATTCACACACAAGGCAGAATTTAATACAGGCAATGAGTGGGTGAAGGTGAAGGTGAAGTACATCCATTTGTGGACAGCTGGTGAAAACCCAGGGTCATTGCCAGTGAGGAAACACGATTGTGTTAAGTGCTAGTCAGTGATGGCCCTCCCTGGGAACAAGAGGCAGAAGTCTGATCCCTGACACCTGCCAGCAATGCACTCACCAGAGGCTCAGGATCAGTGAAAGGCCCAGGTTGCAGGTGGCTATGGGGATGGTGGGGGAGGGTGGGTCTGGCAGTGTAGAGTGAGGCATATGAGGAGGGGTCACTGGCAAGGGGGCCAGGGTGGTGTGAAGTAAGGGCAGGTAGGTAGCTCTCTGATCCTCCCCTTCACTCCTCCCTGATGCCCCGACCTCCATGTCCCCATTGTGTATTATATAAGGAACCCTTCCTCTAGAACTTGAAGAAAACGTGACAAAGTTTGCTACCCACACTTTCCTGATGGTGACTGCCCTGCCTGTCACCAACAGTGAGGGAAAAGGGCTGTTTAAGTGGACATTGCTTGTCCACTCAAGGGTCTCAAATGTGCTGGGGCAGGAAGGTTGACTACAAGCCTTCAGGGGATCCCAAACAACATCTTCCCACCTGCAAGGGCCCCAATGCCTTCAAACCCGCTTCAGGGAAGGGCATTAAACTCCATCCACAATTGAGCATGATTGTAATTTTTCATAACCGGGATAGACCGGTGTTTAACTTAGCCTGTACTTTTCAAGACATTATCTGATCCTAAAATGTAGACTTTTCTCGCTGTAGCAAGGCAAGATACACTCTTCAGAGAGAAAAAAAAGTTTCATTTCCAGTGTCAGTGATATTCGATTACACTTAAATCACAATGAATTTTAGGTTTTTATAACTTTATTTATGAGATGTGGGTGTCACTGGCTAGGTCAGCATTTATTATCCACAAGGTAGTTAAGAGTGAACCATATTGCCTGTGGCTACATGTAGGTAAAGATGGCAGATTTCCTTCCCTCAAAGACATTAGCGAACCAGATATTTTTAATAAGAGAATTGACAGCGGTTGCGTGGCCACCATTGGACTAGACTTTTATTTCAGATTTTTATTGAATTCAGAGGTGATGGGATTCAAACTCATGCCCCCAAGAATATTAATGTAGCTTTCTGGATTACACTGCAACGACATTACCACCACACCATTTCCTCTTCCATTCAGTTTACCATGCATACCCACAATGAAGGCTTGTCTGTAAATCTGCCATGTTGAGAGTGCCACATTTGGTATGGTCTACAATAAAGGCAAGCACATATTGCATACCATATTCATCTTTGTTTTATATTAAGAAAGAGTAAGAAAGATTGATGGTACCAGTTGCCTAATATGCAATCAGAAACCATTACAGTTGTTTCTAAAAAATGAACAATAGTGAATTTTGGGAACATAAATTACCAGAATTTTACAATAGAAAAGAAACAGCTCACGCTCAGTGACTGAATAATTTTAGATTATCCATTGTCAAGGTAACAATTCTCACCTCCACTCTCAATCAGCACGTCCAAAAGATCATCCATCTGGCTTCGAGACATTTGCTGCAGATATACAAGATTAAACTACATAAAGTAAGTCTCAACCAAAATGTATGCTTAAAAACAATCAGCTGGTCATCACATAGTGACCAGAACATAGATCTGATCAGTCCATTTTAAACAAGATTTGTCGTCATATAATTTAATAAAAATCAATAATAACTGACTTTTCTAAGGCTGTATAATTTATAAACCTTAAAAAAAACACTAAAATACACAATTATCTAAAAGTAGTTGAAAAAAAATTCCACGTGATCACATTAATATTTTGCATGTTACAATTTTCATTTTACACCTTTATAAACTGACACAGATAAAATGTCAGTCGAAAAATCAATAGGATTTTCAAAATACAGTTCTCATCAAAAACTGTGGGATGGTATTACTAGAACTGCTGTGAAGAAATGTCTATTCAAGTAGTAGGAAAATAATTAAAAGAATCAATAACAGTGAAATAGAATTATATAACTACACAATGCCTCCTACAGTGTCAGAAATGAGCTGATACAAATTCATTAAATCAATGGTACATGTAAGTATAGTTCACTGTCATGTGAAATCTGTAGTTTGCATTTCATCCGAATAAAACAAGTTTAGCTTATTACAAGGAAATGCTCAAACTGCCAAATGATAATCTTCAATTATTTCTTACCTGTTTCACTGCATCTTCATATGAAGGAGGTTGTTTGATCTTGTTAAGGGTTGAGTTTGAACTACAGAATGGAGTAGTATTGATGACAAACTTTTGGCCATGTTGATTTGCAGAGTGAGGAGCATTCATCTAAATAAATAGACCCAACAGAAACACATCAAGATTATTAACTAGTACTAACAGCTACTTCTATCTCAAAAAAAAGATGAGCTTATTTATTACTGGGGACATGCCACATAACAGTCAAACAGATTAGCCAAGGAGATACTTGTCTGTAGTGTTCACACCAGATAGCCATCTCACCAAGGTGTGACTTGTCTCTATATTAAGATGCTTATTCACTTATTGCCTGAATGTTAAATTCACAAATTGCTCACATTTCTGAAAGTTATTTTTCCAACAAATCAACTATTGGACAAAAGAAGAGTTTGAGGGCTGGACTTCTTTAGTTCAACTTTACGCAACTGGTTTAAAAAAAAGATTCTAAGTAAAAATGGAGGATTGCAGCGCTGTTGCTACATTTTTGCACTGCTATTTTAGCTTTAGGGAAATGCTCAAATAATGACAGTAAATCTGGAGTTTTAAACTGCTTCAAGAGAGAACTGAAGATAAGACGAGTGGTGGCAGATGGTGTAATGGGCGTAGCTGACAGGAGGTGGTATGGGAGGAGGTATGGGAGGAGGTGGTGGGAGTGATGGAGGCATGGGGGCAGTTCTGGTTCATGGTGATTTCTGATTTCTTGGAGGTGCACACAGCAGCACGAATATTTAGAGGGAATTTAGCTCCACAATCCAAATATAGAAGTGGTAGATGTCTACTTGGTCTACTAATTTGCCCAGTCTAATTCCAGTCTACCATGAATGCTGGCATATCGTCCAGCGTTGGTGCATGAAGAATGTACCAACTTACAGCTGACAAAGGAAATTCTGAGCAATCCATTGCAGCTTCTCATTAGTAATCACGATGACACTCTTACAGACCACTTAAACACCTATGTCCTCAAATAAGAGAATAGATGTATTATTATTGTGAATTTTGACATGTCAAATGCATCAGTTTTAGAATTGCACAGCCATGAAAAGTGAGTGAGTTAAGAGTGGAAGGCAAGTATTTTCCCCTCTACAATTTGTTATGATCCCAGTTGATATTAGTATTGGAAAGTCAGATGCCAGAATGAAAACTGGCTTGCTTGTTCCTAAGTTCTTTTGGCTTTTTTTACTTAGTATTTATCTCACGACTTTTCCACATCTCTTCTAGGCATGACCACCATGATGAAGTTCTGCTCCTCTCTCTGACAGGATTTCCATTCAAATCTTTTTTCTTGTTCACTGTCATTAATCTTGCTGTTGTTCCTAGTGTTTCCATGGCCAAATCACGTTCCTCAATGACTACCTCCAGCTCAAACTCACACCACATGGATTCCAACTCAAGTTTCATCCTTAGTGATTTGAATCCACCTACCATCATAGGCATCTCCATGTTGTTCAGCGTTCCACAGGCAGCTGCTCTTGCTGCATCCTGAGATCCATGCTCAGTGCCATGCATTGTCATATGTGCACTCTTGACATCGCTCTCCATCAGCATCACATCACACTGGCTTAGTGCTGCCCTGCTGCTCAATTCCACTTCATCCTCTGACTCATTTGACATGCTAACAAGAAACTTTTCCTTTCAGGCATCAAGGAACACAAGGTACAACAACTCAGACATCCATGGCCCTCCAGAAACTGCCACCCTTCCCCTTTCCTGTGGTTCAATCCCCTGTACCAACCCCACCTCCTGTTGTGTATTCACCATCCCTCCTAACCTTCCAATCTCCGATCCTGATCGTTCTGTCCTCAGCAAAGGTCTCAGTTTTATCCCTCTGTGGCCCCACCTTAATGAATATCAGGCACGACGTGAACTCTTCTTTCATTGCCTTCGCCTCCATATCCATTTTGTTGCACAGGAGTCCTCTCCCTGTCCCACAGAGCCCTTCACCCACCTCAAACACTCTCCCTCCATCTGGACACCTCCCTCTGGGTGTTTCCCTGCACTCAACCTGTTCATTGAGAACTATCGATGTGACACTGGTTGCCTCAATTTCTCTGCCCTCTCACCCATTCTAACTTATCTTCCCATGAGCTCACTGTACTTAGATCCATCGCTGACTTTGTAATAAAGCCTGCTGATAAGGGTGGTGCTGTTATTGTCTGGCAGACTGACCTCTACATTGCAGAGGCTGAGCGCCAGCTCTCAGATACTCCGTCCTATCTCCCTCTGGACCGTGACCCCACCATGCAGATGTTTCATCACCCTGCTAGGTAACATGCCTAGGTAACCTCCCCCATCCCTGGCTTCCAAAGTCTCCCAACAGCTCACTTCCACAAATAGGAATGCCTGGGCAGATCCATTGCTTCTGCCTGCTCCTGCTGCATAGAACTCATCTCTTCCTACCTCGACTCAGTTTTTCTCCCCTTATCCAGTCCCTTCCCAATTACCTCTGTGATTCCTCTAATGCTTCATGTCAGTTCTGAATTTTTAGTTTGCAGGCTCCAGCTGCTTCCTCTTTAACATGGATGTGCAATCCCTTCACACGTCCATCCCCCATCAGGATGGTCTCAGGGCTCTCCGCTTCTTCGTGGAAAATAGGCCTGAATCATTCCCATTCACGACCGCTCTCCTCTGTCTGGCTGAGGTCATCCTTACTTTGAACAACTTCTCCTTTAATTCCTCTCAGGTCAAAGGTGTGGCCATGGGTACCCACATAGGCCCCACTTAAGCCTGTCGCTTCACGAGGTACGTGGAACATTCTTGTTCTAGTCCTTTTCTGGCCCCCATCAACAATTCTTTCTCTGGTATATCAATAACATCATCGATGCTGCTTTCCTTCTCTCATCCAGAAATGGAAAGGTTTATCGATTTCACATCCAAATTCCACCACTGCTCTCACCTTCACCTTGGTCCAGCTCTGACTCCTCCCTTGCCTGCCTTGACATTTCTGTTTCCATTTCTGGGGATAGGCTGGCCTCCAATATCCACTACAAACCCACAGACTCCCACAGTTATCTTGATTATTTATCCTCACACCAGACTTCCTGCAAAGACTTTATTCCATTCTTCCAGTTCTTCTGTCTCCATCGCATCTGTTCTGATGATGCTAACCTCAACAAGGGGGCCTCTGAAATGTCCACCTTCTTCTTCAACCGAAGATTCCCCAGGACCATAGTTGACTGGGCCTCAGCCGGGTCTGACCCATCTCCCGCACTTCAGCCCTCACCCCCTCTCTTTGCTCCCACAACAGCTATAGGGTCCCCCTTGTCCTCACCTATCATCCCACCAGCATCCACATCCAGAGGATCATTAGCCATTCCCACCACCTCCACCAGGATACCACCATCAGACACATATTCCCCTCCCCTTCCAAACCCATTTTCCGTAGGGACCATTCCCTGCAGGACACAATGGTCCACTCCTCCTTCACGACCAACACCCCCCCCCACAGCCTCACAGCATCCTCCCCTGCAACCATGGAAAGGTGTAGCTGCTGCACCTTTACTTCCTCCCTCCTCAGTATCCAAGATCTCATATATACACCTTTTAGGTGAAGCAATGCTTTACCTGCACTTCCCACAATCTAGTCTACTGCATTCGCTGCTCAGAATGTGGACTCCTTTACACTGGGGAAACCAAGCGTAGACTGGATGACTGCTTCACAGAACACCTATGTTCTATCTGCACAAAGGACCCTGAGCTTTCGGTTACCTGCCACTTCAGCACACCATCTTGTTCCCTGGCCAATATCTCTGTCTCAGGTTTGCTGCAGGGCTCCAGTGAAGCTCAGTGCAAGCTGAAAGAATAGCACCTCACTTTCTGTTTGGGAACTTTATGCCTTCTGGACTCAATATTGAGTTCAACAATTTTAGGGCTTGAGGCAGATTCTCCCATGTCCTCCCTCCAACCCCAGGACCACACACACCAGGACCTTGTTATCACATGGTCTGCTGTTACACACTACCCATTGTTAGTCACTAATAGTCTCCATTAGTCTCCAAAACGTTAACTCTGATTTCTCTCCAGAGATGCTGCCAGACCTGGTGAGGTTTTCTGGCAATTTCTGTTTTTGTTGCTTGATCCTAACTTTGTGTTTATTGAAACTCTGGAGGCCAGATACTGAACACATGCACAAGAGACTGCCAGTATACTTTTAGCCAAAGGAATAAATATATTTTAAATAAGAAAAGTGTTAACTATATTATGTAAGGCAAAACAAAAGATTGGAAAAATTCATTCATCAGAAAATAAATCAAATTAACTTTTTTTAAACTCATCCATGGGATGACTGGTATTTATTTTTCATTCCTAATCAAACAGAGGTCAGTCAAGAGGCAACCGCATTTACATAAATGATTTGGACGAGAATATAGAAGGCATGGTTGGTAAGTTTGTGGATGAAACCAAAATTGGTGGCTTAGTTGACAGTGAAGAAGGTTTTCTAAGATTACAAAGGATCTTGATAAAATAGGTCAATGGGCTGAAAAATGGCAGGTGGAGTTCAATCTGGATAAATGCGAGGTATTGCATTTTGGTACAATAAACAACGGTAGGGCTTCTACAACTAATGGTAGGGGGCCTTAGGTAGCATTGTAGAACTGAGGGGCCTACTGGTGCAGGTACATAATTCTTTGAAGTTTGCATCAGATACAGTCAGGGTGGTTAAAAAGGTGTTTGGCACGCTTGACTTCATTGTTCAGTCCTTTGAGAATAGGAATTGGGAAGTCATGTTGAGGTTGTACAGTGCATTGGAGGGGTCTCTTCTGGAATACTGTGTCCAATTGTCATCACCCAGTTATAGGAAGGATATTATTAAGCTGGAGGGTTCAGAAGAGATTTACCAGGATGTTGCTGGGTATGGAAGGTTTGAGTTATAGAGAAAGTCTGGATAGGCTGGGACATTTTTTCACTGTAGTGTAGGAGGTTGAGAGGCAACTTGATAAAAGTTTTTAAAATAATGAGAGGTATAGGCAGAGTTAATGGTAGTTGTCTTTTCCCTAGGATGGGGGACTTCAAGGCTAGGGGACACATTTTCATGGTGAGAGGAGAGAGATATAAAAAAACATTAGAAGCATTTTTTTTCCACAGAGGGTGGTTCACATGTGAAATGAACTTCCTGAGGAAGTTGTGGATGTGGGTACAATTACAACATTTAAAAGACATCTAGAAGTGTACACGAATAGGAAAAGTTTGCAGGGATATGGGCCCGGAGCAGGCAGGTGGGACTAGTTTAGTTTAGGATTATATTCAGCATGGGCTGGTTGTGCCGAAGGGTCTGTTTTCATGCTGTATGACTCTATGATATCACTGTGCCTCTGGGGTCACATGTAAGTCAGACCAGATAAAGATGGCAGATTCATTTCCTGAAAGACATTAATGAACCAGATGAGTTTTCCCAACAATCAAAGATGGTTAAAGTTTTTGAGAAGATTTGTAGCTTGGGTTGAGGATGAGGTTGTAGACTTGCTTGCCGAGCCGGTGTGTTTGATTGCAGATGTTTCGTCATCCTGCTCGGTAACATTGTCAGTGCATCTCCGGTGAAGCGTTGGTGTTCTGTCCCGCTTGTTACTCATATGACTTGGTTTGCTGGGTGATTGGCATCACTTCTGGTTCTGTTTTTCAGCGGTTTGTATATCGGGTCCAGTTCAACGTGTTTGGTGATAGAGCTCCGGTTGGAATGCTAGGCCTCCAGGAATTCCCTGGCATGTCTCTGTTTGGCTATTATGGCCGTATTGTCCCAGTCGAATTTGGGTCCTTCTTTGTCCATGTGTATTGAGACCAGCGAGAATTGGTCGTGTCTCTTGGTGGCTAGCTGTTGTTCATGTATCCTTATTGTCAGTTTTCTTCCAGTTTGGCCTATGTAATCTTTCTCACAGTCCTCACATGATATTTTATATATTACATTAGTTTTATTGGTTGTGGGTATGGGATCCTTCATGTTCATCAGTAGCTGTCGCAGGGTGGTTGTTGGTTTGTGGACTACCCTGATACCTACGGGTCTGAGTAGTCTCGTGCTCATCTCTGAAATGTCTCCGATGTACAGTACGATGACTAGTGTGTCTGGCTGTATCGTGTCTTCTTGTTGTGGTCTTTCGCAGAGGTAACAGTATACGAGCACTTACACAGAGTTTTTAAAAGGAATGGATACCCAAAGAGCACAATCCGCCATAACCTCCGCGACAGACCACAACAAGAAGACACAATACAGCCAGACACACTAGTCACCGTACTGTACATTGGAGACATTTCAGAGATGAGCACGAGACTACTCAGACCCCTAGGTATCAGGGTAGTCCACAAACCAACAACCACCCTGCGACAGCTACTGATGAACGTGAAGGATCCCTTACCCACAACCAATAAAGCTAATGTAATATACAAAGTACCATGTGAGAAACATTATGTTGGCCAAACTGGAAGAAAACTGACAATAAGGATACACAAACGCCACAAGTCACCAAGAGACATGACCAATTCTCACTGGTCTCAATACACATTGACAAAGAAGGACGCAAATTCAACTGGGACAACACATCTATAATAGCACAAGCCAAAAAGAGACATGCCAGTGAATTCCTGGAGGCGAGGCATTCAAACCAGAACTCCATCAACAAACATGTTGAACTGGACCTGATATACAAACCACTATAAAAACAGAACTGGAAGTAATACCAACGACCCCAGCAAACCGAGGCATATAAATAACAAACAGGACAGAACACCAGCACTTCACTGGAGGCATACTGACGATGTTACCTAGCAGGGTGATGAATCATCTGCAATCAAACACAGCAGCTCAGCGAGCAAGTCTACAACCTAATCAACAATGGTTTAATGGTTATTGTTAGATGTTTAATTCAAGACATTTCTTTTATTCAAATTCCATTTTCCTCGATAGCAGGAGTCAAACATTGGCCCCCAGAACATTACTGGGTCCGTGGCTTAATCGGTTGGTGATAATACCACTAGGCCTGAGGTTATTCTTTTATCCTATCCAAATCTTAGTAAATAGTATCCACCGTTTCCACACTAAGGCTCCCTGTTCAGACTCGGTCTGTAACCAATTTCATTTTGGTGTATTTCGTGCAGTCACTAGATGCCTTTTCTCTCATCTGATCATCTCTCCCACAGACTCCTAAAACAAACTGCAAACTAAGCTATTACTTTACTTTTTGAACAACTGCGAGAGTTCCCTAAACGCAGTGTCAGGCAATCCTTTGTTCTCTGGCATACACCACACACACTGACTGACTTCTTGGTTTGTCTCTGCATGCCATTGTGCCCCTAAGGGGCGAAGGAACAAATTAATACTTGACCTGATTTGTAAAGTATCTCAAAGTAGTTTCCTAGGAAATTAAGCCTTTAATTATAAATACCTTTCTGAGTATCTGCTGTCGTATTATATGTTGTTGGAGCTGTTGTTGGAATTGTGGGCTACCGTTTTGGTGCTGAGGCTCCTGTCCTTTTGTGGCCTATAGTAGAAGGGATAGCGAAGATATTTGACGTTATTCAAAATTGATTCTTTAACCTGGCAGATTTTCCAAATTATTATTCTTAATAAATGGTTACATTTTAAATAATCATTGCCAAAAGCTTAAAAAAAATGTAAAGCCAGTTTCTTCAGCTGTATATACGGTTCTTCCTCTGCAATAATTTATTGGCATCGATGTACATGTTTTATGTGGAACCTTACATAATTAGAGAACCTTACACAAGTACTAGCATTTGAATGACTGCAACTTTGCTTCCAAATCATGCAAAGTAAAAAAAAATTATCACAATTGATTTTACAGTTTTCAAGAACGTGTGCGTGTTGTTGGCACATCAGGGGACTTGTCACCTGACCGAACAGCGGCTGAGAGACTTTTACTGCCTCTTTCTTACTGATCAGGTAGAGGTAAGGCCGCCGGCACACCTTACTCTGGGATCAGAACCCCAGCGATGCAAGTCCCGTCCAGTGAGAGTAGCTGGCCAATTGGAAGCTGGCAGCTCTTAACGCTCAGCAGTGCCATGGAGGGGGCTGTGGCTGACAGCACAAGTACAGCCGTAAAATTCCAATGTCAAGGAGGAACCAGGACAAAGGGAAGGGATGCAGTGTGGAGATTAGGGGTTAATACCAGCAGCTATAGGCCAGGCCTTTAGGTGGTCTATAACTGTCCTCCTAAGGGCTTTGATTGGTACCGCAATGGGACTGTCGACCATAGGCCTTCCTCTTCAGATGCTGTTGGAGGCACAGAGGTGATGGTTTAAGTATGTGAAAAAGGACTAGAACTTGAGTATTTTAAAGATACTTTTTATTAACATTCTGGACTTTTTAAAATCTGTGTTTCCATGCCAGTCTTTTTGTACTATTTCAATTCCGTAACAACACTTAACATACCTGTATCTAGGTACCATGTATCTAAAATGGCGCTGAGAGGTGACATTACAAACTTTTCACCGCACTCATTCGAGTGCACGTGATAATAAAGGTTATTCTATTTTGTTCTACTCATCATCCTGCGTAATTAAATTGTTTTCTCCCCAACCCCTATCTGACCATTTAAGCTAACCATCAGATTCTGTCTCTTATAGACACTGTGTGGTTAGTGCGCTTTTGCTATTACGTGAGGGAGAAAGCTATAGTAATAGCACTTGTCAAACTTCAGTCTCTCATTTAAGATGCTACAATGTCAGATGTTTTTCATTACAGGCAGTGATCATTAATCCAAGTTGTAATTCTACACTATGTGCAGAATAAAGCTTAGTAAAAACATAAAGAAATAGGAGAAGCAGTAGACCACATAACTTCTCAGGACTATTCTGCCAATCAACACAAGCAAGATTGATCTTGTACCTCAACTGTTTTACCTCAGCTGACCACTCCCTGCTTGATGCCCAGAGAGATCAAAACTAAAGCTATCCCAATCTTAAATGGGACAAAGTAGAGAGAAACATATCTAAGGAAGGATGTAATTGCTTTGGAAGTAGTACAGTGGAGATTCACTGACTTAAAGCTTCGGATGAGAGCGTAGTCCTATGATAAAAGGCTGAGAAAATTGGGCCTGTACTGTCTGGTGTTTAGGAACATGGGGAGGTGATTTCATTGAAATGGACACAACACTGAAGGGACTTGGCAGGGCAGGCATTGAGAGGTTCTTTTCCCGGGCTGAGGAATCTAGAACAGAGGGGTACCACCTCAGGTTACACACAGTTGAGAGGAATTTCTGAGGAAGGGTCATCAGACCCGAAATGTTAACTCGGAATTTTTTTCTTCACAGATGCTGAGCTTTTCCAACCACTTCTGTTTTTGTTCTTGATTTACAGCATCTGCAGTTCTTTCGGTTTTTAAATTTACTCAATACTGGAGCATTCACAACCCTCCAGAGGGAGAGAATTCTGAAGATTTAAAACCCTCCGAGTGCAGATATCTCTACTTATCTCAGTCTGACATTATTGACCTCTTAACCTGAGGTGGTACCTCTCTGTTCTAGATTCCTCAGCCCGGGAAAAGAACCTCTCAATGCCTGCCCTGCCAAGTCCCTTCAGTGTTGTGTCCATTTCAATGAAATCACCTCCCCATGTTCCTAAACAGCAGACAGTACAGGCCCAATTTTCTCAGCCTTTTATCATAGGACTACGCTCTCATCCGAAGCTTCAAATCAGTGAATCTCCACTGTACTACTTCCAAAGCAATTACATCCTTCCTTAGATATGTTTCTCTCTACTTTGTCCCATCAAGCATTCCAAGGGCAGTTACAATATAGGGGATTCAAAGCAGAATTTCCTTTATACTATTCAATCAAAATACATTAATTAGGAGATATTTTTCCTTATTTGTCTCCAGGGATGTGGGCATCACCAGAAAGTCTTGTTTCCCATGCCCAAAGTGCTCTTGAATTGGGTGACTTGCTAGGCCGTTTCAGAGGGTACTTAAGAAGCAGCTACATTTCTGTGAATCTGCAGTCACATGTAGGCCAGACCAGGTAAGAGTGGCAGATTTTGTAAACCAAATAGATTATAACAAATGATAGCATTTTTAAAAATGGTCATATAATAGAGTAATAGAGTTATACAGCATGGAAACAGACCCTTCAGTCCAACCAAGTCATGTCGACCATAATCCCAAACTAAACTAGTCCCACCTGGCTGCACTCAGCCCATCTCCCTCCAAACATTTTTTGCGCTTATCCAAATATCTTTTAAACATTGTAACTGTACCCACATCCATCATTTCCTCTGCAAGTTCATTCCATACACAAACTACTCTCTATGTAAAAAAAATTGCCCCTCATGTCTTTTTAAAACCTTTCTCCTCTCACCTTAAAAATATGCCCACTAGTCTTGGAATCCCCCTCCATAGGGAAAAGACACTTGCTTTTCACCTTATCTATATCCTTCATTACTTTATGAACCTCTGTAAGGTCACCTCTCAACCTCCTATGCGCCAGTGAAAAAAAGATCCAGCCTCTCCTTTTAACTCAAACCCTCCATTTCGGGCAACATCCCTGGTAAATCTCTTCTGAATCCCTTCGATGATGTGCAGATGCCAGTGTTGGGCTTGGGTGGACAAAGTCAGAAGTCACACAACACTAGGTTATAGTACAACAGGGTTATTTGAAATCACAAGCTTTTGAAGCACTGCTCCTTCTTTAGGCTCTTCACCTGACAAAGGTGCAGTGCTACAAAAGCTTGTGATTTCAAATAAACCCTCTCCCGCTTAATACTATCCTTCCTATAACAGGGAGATCAGAGCTGGACACAGTACTCCAGAAGATGCCTCACCAACATCCTGTACAACCTCAATGTAATTCATCTTTATTGGAGATTCGCTTTCAATTCCATACTTATTCAGTCAATTCAACGCATATCCCCAGAACAATAGCCCTGGCCTGTGGATTACTGGTCCAACGACATTACCATCCGACCACCATCTCCCCATCCTTGCAATGTATAAACTTCCAAATGAACAGCTGAGCCTACCTGAGTTAGCCGAAAGACTTTAAATGTTTTAAGCAGTGCCATTGTAATTGATAATGGAAAATGGTTCACGGTTTTGGCCATGTTCATTTGCCACACCCTTGCGCAGTATGTGGCAGGAAATGTGCCAACATTCCAAAGCTACAAAATACCCTGTGATCCGCAGCAAATTTGACCTTTACCTGCATCTTGAGTTGGCTGCTGCAAGCTGGAATGGACTGAAGCTGACGGGGTGAAACACTGCGACCGTCTCCGTTCTGGGGGCCAGGTGACACCGGCAGGAGGAAGTGATTGTTTGGAGATGGGGGAAGGCTGGCATGCTGAGGGCTGCTGGTCAGGCCTCCCACTGGAGAATGCTGAGGGGAGCACTGTGGACTCAGAAACGGCGGGGACCTCACTGCATTGTGCTCTGCAGCTTCCACGCATGCCTGACTGTTAGCCATTCCCGACGGGGTACCGGCAGTGTTTAGACTCTCTGTAGAACTGTTGCTGGATGTGGAGGATATCATCGGGGTTGCATTTCTATCATTCACCTGCTGTGCTGCAAATGGACAGCTGGACATCAGGTTTTCCTGCTTAACAGCCACACTGAAGAGTGACTGGGAGGATGCCTGTGGGTCATGCTGGTTATTCTGTTTCTGCTTCTGAAGTTGTATCTTCAATTCCTCCACTTGCTTTTGCTCCATGTGGAGCTTCCAGGTCAGTTCGTCGATAACTTTCTGCTTCTCCATGAGCATTTTGTCCTTATGGGTGTCAAAGCCGTCCATTTCCACCTGGACGCTGCCTCCATTCATGCTACTCATCAGACTGTCTTCAGCACTAAGGTGAACCGGGGAAGGCACAGGCACGTCGCTGAAGGTATCTGGCAACCCGCTCAAGTCAGATCCGGTGACAGAGAGATCGGACGACGCCGGGGAAATGGGAGGTGTCGAGCTGGTGCTGCCAAACGGGTAAAATCCGTTGGGCAGCACTGTGGTCGCGGTCTGAGTCTGAAAGGTTGAGAGAGTGGTCACGGGAGTCATCGGGAAAGTCACGGCCGTCATCTCGCTGACCGACCCTGTCGAGCTGGTGCTGGTGCTGGTACTGCTGGCCGGCAGGGGGCTGCTCTTCGAGTCTTGGAACGGTTTCAGCCTCTTCATGAGTGCGGTTTTCGTCCCAGACACTGGTAGACCTCGTATTCTCAGCTGCTGCCTCAACTCGGATACCTGTGTGTGGTGAAGAAAGAAAGCCCAAATCGTGTAGGGTTAGTCCTAGACTGAGTCAGTAACAAACACCTCTATCCAGACACCCTACTGACTGAGAAAATATATGATTTTGCTTTTCTAGTATGGAATAGAAAGGAATGTACTTATACAGAGTCCTTCATATGCTCAAGGTGTTACAAGGTACTCTATAACCAAAGAGGTTGTTTAGAAATGTAGTCACAGCATTGGCATAGCACTAAGAGATGAACGCATTTAAATAGTGGTTTAAATCAACGTTTTGGAAACTTTCAAACTTCTGAAACGTGTACCCTATTATTTCTGTAGGAAAAAGTGACAACAAATTTGTTCTTAGCAGTATCCTGCAAATTTTAATAGGACAAATAACTGAGCAATTTTCTTTCGCAGTGAGAACACTCATCATTTTCAAAACTGTCATGGATCCTTTAATGTTCACTTGTAAAGCCAGGTAGAGCCTTCCTTTAATCATTCAAAAGATTTAGATGGTTTCTGGATTCAGACATGAAATGATACACCAAGAATAAACACATGCTGTACTCACACATTAATCCGTAAAAATGCATTATCTTTTCCCCTTTCTGTAGGGTACCCTTGGTAGGACATGCAGCTTTTGCTCTGCAATTGTCCAATGTCATTGAATTTCAGGTCATAAGTAACATTTGCAATTATTACTTTTTCTAGTTATACAGCATATTTATGAATGGTCATACACAACCCAGAATGCATGACAGAAGATTGATCGTACTAGAATGTTCAAAGAGATGTGCTGGATTTTTCAATAACTGATGTACAGTTAGCAACACTTCTACTTGTTCAAGGTCAATCCAATGACAATTGTATTTCATATTGTATGGGGACCCGTTATAGTGAAGCTACGCTATCACTGCAGTTTTTACAAAACTAAAAATGGACCTCCGACTATATTGAGATTTAACTTGTTTTACTGACCAATTTTGTCTTTGTAATGAACTATAATTCCTGCCAATTAGACTTTCAACACTGGGGTACACTTTGTTTTTCTGGGCCCAAGGTTTTGCTTAAGATATTTTTCTACAATCATTTGTATTTTAGCTGTTGAGACTCTTCTAGTCTCCGAATCTTATGAATGTTGCTTTGCTTATGTAAAGCATTATTATTTGGAAAGGGATAGTAGGAACTGCTGATGCTGGAGTCTGAGATAACAAGGTGTGGAGCTGGAGGAACACAGCAGGCCA